AATCCCAAAACAAATTTGTTCGTCAATAGTTGGTGCAGTTGTAAATTAACACTCTTCGCATTGTGTTAAACTGCAACTGATCCCGTCAAATGATATCGTAATCTGCTTGCATCAGTTAGTCCCCCATAATGTCAACCGAGATAAACATACGCAAATGTCATCAAACACAAAATGTGTTTCATCTGTAACTGGAGTATTCTGTATTCGTGTTTGTGGATGTTGGGAACGCAACAGGTGGGGAAATCAATGTTGTTAGATGTATCAGTGTGAATCAACTCTAGCTGCTTTTTTTCAGTTCGCGAGGAAAGGGACGTAAATCTGTTCTGATTGTAGTAAGCGTTGTTTTTTTAAATTATAATTATGTTATGAAAGATATAAAAACCATTATCAAAATTTTATGTAAAGGATTTAAAAGTAGAAAACAATAAATAACAACAAGTAGCTATTTAATTAGGTAAGTAACTTTTATTTCGCTTATATTTTAATGCACTTAAAAGTTCCTTATTGTATTTAAAAAAATGTGTTAATTTTAAATATTCTATATCGTCAACTTCTTGAATGTGTGTTTTTTTTATCTGTTAGTTCTCACGAGAATGCAACAGTCAAGAAATGCAACCACCGTAATAATTCTAGGCATTCTCGCCGCATTCATGCTTTTATTTGTATCATACTATCCCGGAAACTATCGTCAAAGTAATGTATTGTCTGAAAAGGATGTCATCCTAAGATTAAAAGAGTACAGCAATTTTTTATCAATACTAAACGATTCAGTAATACAACTCTTTGACAAAAATGAGCGTACATTAAAGACGTATGCCGAATGCAAATATAATTTGTCTATGCACCAGATTACTGTATCCAGATTCAAAGCATGCAGAGAAAGAAATACTAAACTAAATAGTGAATATGAAAACTACAAAGTGAAATTACATACATGTGAAGATGAAATGCCAAAACTAAGGCAATGTGAAGAAAATAAGATAAATCTTGAAAACGAGGTTAATAAGATACTTAAAGAGTCTACCTATGAAGTAAAAGTACAATCAGATTTTAAACATGCACCTTTAAGTGCAGCAGAAGAACCAAGAATGTTCAGAGATTTATACAGTTCTAGAACTTCAAGGGTAGAAATACCAGGAGATTTACCTTCAACTGTTCATTACGTCTGGTGCGAAAATAAAGATTTAAAATTTGAAGACTTGTTGGGGATATTGAGCATAGTGCGTGTCCTGAATCCGTTGAGATTGGTGTTTTATTACAATCATTTGCCAGGAGGGGGTGGATTTTATTATTACTCGTGGTTTTTCGAACTAAGACAATCGGTGTTTAACTTGGATTTGAGGAAAATTGACAGGGAGATAAAATGTAACACGTTGGACGCAGTGGAGTTTGCGTTAGAGCAAATAACATCAAGTGGAAGAGGAGGTTTTTATTTTGGTGAAAGAGCTGTGTTAACGTACGTCCCCGATGAATGGAAAACCAAGAAATTTGTCACATACTCAAAACCTGGGGATTTATCTAGTGAAGGAATGATTATATTGATCAACACAGAGGAAGCTATTACAAAAGAAGACCTTGATGTGTTTAGACATAAAGTTCTCAAAAACCCCAATCAATGCCACACACCTAAAGAGTTCGACAATCGGGATCCTGATACAACACAGTACTCGCCGTGTGTAGTCCTGCCCACTGATGTGTTACCTGAACATATCCTCAACGACACATCCAAGTTGAACGCTGTACTCAGATGGTTGTATTATGGGCGAAGTGATGGTCTAGAGGTCAAGCAAAGTAAGGTAAGATACATCATTTTTTAAAAAAATAGTTTACATACAATATATATATATATATATATATATATATATATATATATGAATATGTATGTATGTATACGCCAGGACCCAGCTGATTTGGTTCCACCCATAAACCACGTGATCTTCCTTAACCCTAACCCAGGTAGCCCAGTCGTATGGTCGTTTGAAAGTTACATCTGTGTCATCTCTGCCTTGCATGTTGGTGGATTTGAGAGGTTGGTAGACATAAACATATTTGAGAGGTTTGTAGACATAAACATATTTGTTTGAGAGGTTGGTAGACATAAACGTATTTGAGAGGTTGGTAGACATACACTTAATATTTTAAGAGTTTGGTAGACATAAACATAATCGTGTGAGAGGTTAGTAGACATAAACAGTATTGTCAACAGTTGTACAAAGAAAGAGTGCTTATACCCCATACGTTTTCTACAATTCGAATTTAAAGTATGAATACTTAATAAATTATATTTAAAGCAGCCGTGTATGTTGAATGTGGAGAACATACACCAACATATTGTTTTTGTCCGTGTGTTGTCTTCACTGTAAACCTATATCGGAAGTTTTTTACGTAATTTAATACAGATAGTTATCCTATAGGAAGTGTTGGTCTAGGTCTAATTGTTTTATTATCTACTCACCACAAGAGACGTAGAGGGGGGGGGGGGGGCGTGAGGGGGGGGGGACATATGTCCCCAGGCGCCTACCTGTAAATTAAAAGTTCTAAGGGGGGGGGGGGGTGGCAAATCAAAGTTTGAAGGGGAGCAAATCGAAAGTTTTAGGGGGGGGGGTGCAAATCGAAAGTTTGTCCCCGGGCGCCGGGAAGTGTCGCTACGCCTCTGCTCACCCCTTTACAAAATATATGTACTCATGAAGACGTTTCGCCTTGTATTAATGTTGTAACTCTTTTAGGCAATGTTACATTACGCTACTATTTTAATAGACCAATTATAAACGTGATCTATTGTGTTTCTATATTTTACAGAGTGTATGTACATGGTGATACAAAACCATCAGGTTACTGGTGGGATAAGTTGATACACGAAAACGTCACATTTGTTTACGTAAGTTGTCATTTACTTTCTCGTATACAGTGCATAGATGAAGTATTTTATTCGTGCAAAAAATCCACATGAAAATGTTGACAGCTTTTACCTATTTACACATCAGTACTTCATCATTTACGGGGTATAAGAGACTTATTTTAATAGGGCAAAAATTCTAAAAATGTGTTTTGCGCGTCATCGAGTCGGATGTATGTATGTCTGTAAACACAATAAAGTGAGTACCGTTACAGCTAGGTTGATGACCTGTAATTCCCACGTTTTCTTTAACTTGCTTTCGCGTCTGTTTGGTTCTCCAATCAAATCTTGCGATCAAAATTTCGGGCACTTCCCAGTTAGCTAGCGCGCTGAAATTTTCAGGGAAGCTTTGTTTCCGATGACCATAGAATATTCAATTGTTATTATTACTAAATTGATCCATGGAAACATTTTATTGAGCATTTTAGACCGCTATATAATTGTAATAAAAACGTGGGGAAAAACGGACATAACCCAGTAACTGTAATTTGATGAAAACAAGGTTCAGTATTCTCCCTCTTTTTGCTTACTGACTAGTGTTCACACAGTGTTTGTGTACAAACAACCGTAACAACTGGTGGCCAGTATGGGGGAGACGATATGGTCGAGTGGTTGGGCACACGATTGCTATCCCACTCGACACGGGTTCAAATCTATGTGCTCTAGTCAGTAACGTATTCACACAATGTGTTTTTTACGAGTTGTCTTTTTACGAGTTGTCTTCGTTTACCCAAAAAAAAAGTGAAAAGATAAAATCGATAGCAAGATTTTAATGCAAACAAACAGACAAAGACTAAAAAGTAGAAAATAATAATCATTAAAAAAGTTTTTAAAAACCCACGTTTTCTGATTGAACTAAAAAGTAGAAAATAAATGCTATACATCACAATAATGCAAGCGATCACTCTACTATAAGCGATCAAAAACGTGGGGCGCCGTGATTTTCTTACATTTTCTAATACTGTTGACTCTCTACAAGCTCCCTAATAAAAGTCAATAGTATTATCTAATCAATAGTAATATAACTTTTACTCCGGCGCCCCACGTTTTTCATCGCTTATAGTAGAGTGATCGTTTGCATTATTGTGATGTATAGCATTTATTTTCTACTTTTTAGTTCAATCAGAAAACGTGGGTTTTTTAAAACTTTTTTAATGATTATTATTTATAAGTATTATATTACACTTATAGTTCTGTATTAACTTTAAGCGATTTCCCGGTAACCGGAAGTGTATATTTCTTTTACTTTTATTGCTGTTCACTTGGCGTGCAACTTTTATTTCGACGATATTTGAGTCTATTTAAAAAAAAATAATTAAGTATTTAAAAATCGATTGCGAATCATGTCTGCATCCCGAGTTTCAGTCCCGTCCCCCCCCCCCGTACGTAGATTTATATAATTACAACGAGAACATTTTGGTGAGATCACGTCCGCTTTATTTGTTTTTTTTTTGTTTATTTATCTAAGAACTATGCTTTGTAAATCGCATAACGAACTCAACTTTACAGTTTTACCTAATGTGTATAAAGCCAAGAATACTAAGTGTGATGGTACGTGAGGATGGTTTGAGTTTTTCTTGTCTCACCAGTTGTGATGGTGGGATTTTTACGAGGCGTAACGAATCCAATAACACAAGTTCAAATATAGAATATTATTTATTGAGATTATAAAATGAAGTTCTGCCTAACTAACTAGCCTATTCTATACTCTCTACTACTACTGTCTGCCGTTTCCTAGATCTACCTATCTGACCGTTCTCTTCACTAATTATCAACTGTTACCTAGCCCTACATATCTCGACCGTCTCTAACCGCTTCCTAACATCTTCTCCACTTTTCACTAGCTACCTATCAACTGCTGCTAATCTCTCTACTGACCCACGCCTCAGTGGTCAGCTGACCGTCCCACGTGACCGGTCAGTTCACGTATTTTTTTTGGTCTCTCTCTGACCAACTCGCTATAGCCTGTTACTGCTATCTACCTGAGCTCTCCGACATAACCTTGCGTCATCACACTAAGCTTACATCATATTCAACTGACACAATACTGTTGTTGATCTAGGTAGACCAGCCGCTGTCTGTCTTCCAACAAGAGGTGAATGTGATGGCCCACCGAGCGGATATTCTACGAGTTCTCATTCTGTACAAGTATGGCGGAACTTATAATGTTAGTATTGTACCAGTTACATTTTTGGGGTCATCCATAAATGACGTCACACTCTCAGGGGGGAAGGGGGGTCCGTAATTTTGTGACGATGTGTGATGAGGGGGAGGGGGGGGGGGGGCTCAGATGTTGCGAAGTCACACTTTTGCATTATAAAAAAAACAATGTTAGAAAACGAATTTTAGACGTTATTTCGCGTTTTAGATAACTGTTTTAATAAATTGTAATAGTTTAGACACGATTTTAGAAAAATAGCAATGTTTTAAAAAAATTCAACTGCAATTTTGAGGGGGGTTGTAGGTTGAGGTGTGATGTTATTTTAGGGGGGGGGTCTGGCTTTTTGTGACGACGTGTGACGGATGACCCCTTTATGGGTTATCGGATATGTTAGACAGGTGTTCTTTCAGACTATTTACCTAAAATAGATCATGAATGAAAATAGATCGCCCGCGAATATAAAATAACGGTTCATTGTCGGTTTTTTATGCTGAAGATTTAACAGTATTGGCATTGACGTTTTAACTGGGGAAATGGAGCGGGGTTTATTTTCATAGGGGGTAGGGATGTTACGTGACTGCTTGGGAGGAAGTTGTGTTTGTGGATGTGTATTGTGTGTGTGGGGGGAGGGGGTTTATTATTTAACTTTTAGGGGTGGGGTATCGCTTGTTTAATGTGAGGAGAGCGGAGGGTGGGGGGGATGCGGCGATAGGGGCTTTGAATGCCTGCTGTGGGGAAATAGGTAAGTGTATCGTATGTTCATTAAAGAGGTTATATATTTACATTAGTTAGTGCTTATCTTTTGCTACATTTTTTATTTTGTGGAGGGGGTGGGGTGGGGGTTTAGAAAATTGACACATTAACTAAAAAGGGTTTATATGTTAGCTGTTTTATGGAGGATAATTCAATTATTTAATATTTTGTTATTCTTTTAAACTTATAAAATTAATTGTTTGCATTGCTAGATTGTATTACAGGTAGCGTAAGGACCGCATACTTCCAGTTAGTTGCATCGTGTTTTATATATGTTGTCAGTGTAGTCCTATTCTGACGTGTTTATTGCAAGCTAAGCTTTATTTAGTTTTTCTTAATAAACCTATAATATATAGCATTTAGTTAAATAAAGTTATGCATTGAAATATGTAGGATAATGACGTCATTTGGGTGAAACCACTTTCTGAGGGCCAGAGAAGGTACCCAACGGTCTTGTGCTACGAGTGGACGGATGTTCCACCCTGGCCTCGAGCAATCAGCAACGGTTTGTTGGTGGCAAGGGCAGGAGCTCCATTCCTGTTGAAAGTTCTAGAGTCTTTCTGGTAAATTATTACCTATGTGTAAGCTACTATATATTCAATTTTTCAGAGACGTGATACATATTTTTTTTTCTTCTTTCTTAAATTGGCTTCAATGATTTTGAAGTGATTTTTTTTTATTTGTTGCTTTTATTGCGACGTATAACGTTAAGTAAGTACAGTTCCAATTAAGAACAAGACGGTCTATGTGGAAATGAAGTAGAGTTCACCTGTTTCCGTGACCTCGGCATTTTACGGGATAGCTTGGCCAGCTATATGCCGTGTCGACTTTACTTTCCCTAGTCTGAGTTAAGTACACATTAGAGCTGGGTGGACTCAGGTACATTTAACTGACTTTAACCAAGATTCAAACTCTTACAGACATAATCGTTTCTACCAATATTCATTTGCTTTCTTTATTAATTAGAATTAAAATACTCTTTGTTTAGAAAACATGTACGCGCTCCGATATTTTAATTGTTTATTTGTTGAAACTGGAACATTATAATAATTTAAACCAAAACGAAAGTAAGATCTCAAACAGCTAATAATTTACGTTAAAGATGCTGTCGTGTTTGGGGATCTATTTAGAAGGGGTGGGTGGGGTTCTAACCACCCCAACACCACTTGCGTACGCCATTTGTTATAAGACACTTGTGTATACAGGAATTAAAGTGTAGTTTTATTATTTGCAGGTTCTACCGTGACGATATGTGGGCCATGAACTCAGTGCTGATGTACTACAAGCTGTATGAGAGGAACCCGGAAATGGTACACATTGACCCCAAGCTTCAGGTAGAATATACACGATAGAGCCACTGGAGAAAAACAAATTATTGAAATTCTTCATCATTTTCAAGCAAAATTACAATCATATATTAACCGAAAATGTAAGTTATAATTAAAATTCAGACTAAATGAGTCAAGAAAGTTAAAAACCCCTATACCCCTTACCTGCTGAGCTCCCTATAGATTCGTGCAAAGACATATCCGCCACTAAAAAAACGTAACGTTCATTACCCGTAAACAAATGTATATATTTAATCTACGAATTCATATATAAGTAAAGCATCAAGTCTCTTTACCCCTCACCAAATAAGTAGCGCAAACGTTATTTGGGAAGGGGTGTGCTAGGGGGCATGAATACGATTAACCGCACGGTAATTCAAAAAGGTAACCTTCGAAGGTAACGTTTGTGTAAACACATGTGTTTATTTAAGAATAGAGTTGCCTTTCAGAGCGACGTTTTGTGTAAACTTTAAACAAATGGAAATTCAAATTAATTTCTGTAATCATCACATCGTCTTTTACCGCTCGTGCCCATCTTTTTTAATGAATTAAGCGATAGTGTGCCCAGTCGTCTTTATTTTCACTAACGTGACTTAGGTAGGCTACACATCAGAGCTGGGTGGAATCAGGGACCTTCAACTGATTTGAACTCGGATTCGAACTCGATTCTTTCATAGTATCAGTCGGGTGCCCTACCGATAGGCCGCACCGTCCCTTATTTATGTAAAAGAGACCTAGATTAGCGAAACGTTTTGGTAACTCACGAATAAACAAATTGCAATATTAGCACAACAATTAAGTACGCGTGAGTTTAAATATTGGTATATATCTTAAATAACAATTGACCCAACATTAATAGATGCAATTATTTTTTTGCCAAACGGACAATAACTTAATAAAACCATTTACCCGAACAGAAGACAGAAGATAGCGCCCCCCCCCCCCCCCAAAAAAAAAATTAAAAAAAAAATCGTTTAATGGACGATAACCCCAAAAATTATCTGTCTGCATTTATTATAACTTAAAAAGCCATGTCCTTATTCTACAATCATACCATTCAATTTTTCCAAGTACGATAAAGTTGTAATTAAACAACAAGCAAAATATGTATTTACAGATATGGTAAATTGTATCATAAATATCAAATAAAAATATTAAAACTTAGTTAATGCTTTGTATCAGGAAAAAGTGTTAACTTAGGGATATTGTTGTGTATTAGGTAAAACACAATAATCCCGAGATGATGTGTCGCTATATAATAATTATCACGTTATATCACACCCCAGGTCATCTGTTACAACCACATCTGTCACCCCACTTGGCACGAGGATTACCGCAGGGGTTACGATGACCCAAGTCCTACAACCAGATTTAACATTGAAGAAACCAACGGTTAGTTAAACTCATTTCTTCTGAATTTTATTTATCCTGAGTAAACATGAATTGACTCAACGTTACGGACACCGTTAGGTAATGCTGACATTAAAAAAAAAATCCTTTAATATTTTGTTTGTCAAATGTTCATAGTATGAATTTAACTGAACATCTAAAGTGTGTGTATTAAGTCATCTAAAGTAAAGAAAAAACTGAAACCGGTTAGTGTTCACTAAATTGTATCTATAGAAGCACGGCCTATAGCGACAACTTCTTCTTCTTCTTCTTCGTTCTTAATTTTTTAGTGTTGGAAGGGATCGAGTCTTATCCGTCAGATGGTTTGAGCTCGAGACTTTTTCGAATTTAACAACCATGATGTTTGCCGACTCAACCACGCATCCATCACAGTTAAGGATACGTGTCAACTGGTTATGCGCCATTAAGGACTCCGATTTCAGCCTGCTTTTCTTTTTGGATTCGCTTCCATTGCCTTTGTCCAACCAAGAACAAACTACAAGGCAGCAGTTGTTTGATTTTGGAGTTGTCTCTCCTAAAAGATAGGCTGTCCCCAGCTATCGAGCCTCATCTGCCCGAGGGTTTGAACTCGAGACTTTTCGGTTTAGCAACCATGAGCTTTACCGACTCGACCACGCCGACCCCTTTATAGCGACGACGATTCTCTGGTTCTTACAAAGAGGTCCTCGAATGTTCGCCAAAATGTGATGAACTCTACTTCACCTTGTCAAATTTTGTAAAACTTACTTGATAAAATTGATATAAATTATTGTGTGTGACTTATTTAACACATTAATTGTTTCTATTTTCAGCTTTCCATTTCATCCATTTGCAAGCTCCGCCCATTTTCCAATCGTTTGCTGCTGTCAATAATAAAACAAGCATTGACGCCTTGTTGGTGAAAAGAGTCATAACTGCTATAGAGAAGGCGGGCAAAACTCATCTATTGCAAGAGGAAAATTAGCAACAGAAATATTTCAGTTTTTATTTTGCAAGGCTTAAAAAGTATAAAACTGTACATAGTGTTTAAAATGAGTTCAAATGTAATCATGTGTATATTGGTTACTTGCTGGTGCATCAATACATGCATTGGAAGTGCTCTTTTACTGTGGTCCAGCTACCAAATAAAGCGGGACGAATTGTCTCGTCAGGATGCAGTAATGTCATTATAACATTACATACAATGTGCTACAGCAGATATTTATGAGTTCTGGACAGCAACATATTAGTTACGGTTTAATTAATTCAATTCGTTTTTATTTCACGAATACAAACATCATCACCGGCTAATATGTGTATACATTTCTAATAAAATAAAATAAAATAAATAGACAATATTCTTTTCCTATTGATTCTGTCTGTGATTGAATAATTTGAATACAAAAATTAAGAGATAAAAAAAAAATTAAATACACTTTTCGTGATTGTCTTAAAATATCTCAAGTGTTTGCCTTCTCACAGCTTGCCCGATCCACATCTATTTGCGGCTTCAGTAACTTTTCCTTGTGGTTTTTCATAGGTCTTTATCGGACATTGTGTCCGATCATCTTACGCTAGACATCTGTTTGTAAACGACTGCGACCTGTTGTTATTAAAATTAGGTGAATCATCACATCAATGAGACATTATGTAAGCAGTATTTTCTGGATTATCTACCCTGGTCGTTTTTACCAATTTGACCATCATCTAGTACCTCATCGATACAACTTCAAGTAATGCACGAGCATATGTTTCGTTAAACTATTCGTTTGATGCACTTTCAATGCACGAGCATATGTTTCGTTAAACTATTCGTTTGATGCACTTTAACGCCCTTTTAATTAATCTTATAATATCTCGACGTTTATTCTTGCATGGTGCATTTAAACGTCACGTGATATACTGGACAATGATTTCATTGGAAACTACGTTGCTTTAATAAGTGAGAAAATAGAAGTATCAATGAAGTAGTGAGAATAAATATTTTGTTTCAATTTAAATCAGGGGTCTCGAAACTACGGCCCGCGGGCCGAATGCGGCCCGCGAAGTCATTTCATCCGGCCCGCTGAAATCTTTTTGTCCTAGAAAAAATCGTTTGTTGGTGATGGCTGAGGAACTTTGCTCAGAAAAATCAAAGACATGCCTGGAAAAAAACTGGCCCTCGAACTGAAATTTGATAGTTAATGCGGCCCCCGGACTGAAAAGTTTGGAGACCCCTGATTTAAATAATTATTATAATGAAAATGTATTAATGCAGACTCCTTGACCTCAACGCAGCATTTGCACAGCGACACCTTCCGACACAAGTGGTAAACTATCAATTTATAACGCAAAATATACACTTTTGTACATTACACAATAAAGATGAATATTAATTTTGTTTTTCAGAAAATGAAGTGCAATAAAGTTACAGAATATTTAATTAAATACTTGAATATTTGCATCTCATTCGAAAGTTGTCGAGAAAATTATATTAATCAGTAAAATAGTGCACAATATCTGCATCAAGAATGCTGCAGATGGTTCTCATTATTGCAAGCTTTGCATTTGTTTTGAAACTCATCTTGCTTTAGTGTGTGTCCCATTATTTCTGATAAGTTATGAAATAGATAAGGAATGTTTGGTTAATGCTTCTTTCATCACCAATTGAAATCACGCCCATGATATTCACTGTACTGATTCGGTTGTAAAGAACACTGTATTTATTGATTACGAGCCGACCCGCGGTGTATCATACGCCGCTATTTAGTTGTTTTTTCTACTTTTCAGTAATTCATAATGTGTGAATTCGACAGTACCAATGCTGCCACTGAAAATATTTGCTTTAAAACACTAAACCCCCATTTCCCCCCCCCCCCCCCGTGAAAGCAGCCTCCTCTTAGTTACCTCCTCCAAGTTTAAAATAGTTTCAAACTGAATTATTTGCCGTCACCAAACTAAACATTTAGCGTGAACTACAACTCACCTGACCATGTGAGGGGGGTGGGGGGTGGTAGCGATAGAGAAGAGAGGGGACTGCAAGGCGCGCGCTTGCAGCTTGTTTTCTAACGGCTCCCAGAAGAGAATTATATATATATAGATTGTTCAAACATGGTATTGTATCCTGAACTTAGACAGGCGGTATAACGAGATTGGTCTGTGGCTAATTAATCTAAGCTAAACGTTTCAAACCTCTACATCAATTAAAAAAGCATCAAAAAAATAAATCAATAAACAGTAATGACAACAATTTGTAATATGTTTATTATTGTGAATCGTTATACTTCTATCTAACTACGTTTATAGAAGTAAATTCATTCTAATTACAAAAGAAACAAATAATTTTGAAAAAAGTTATATTTTCAATCAAAAGGATTGATATAATAAAAGAAATGCAAAGGGTATTTCAATGCTTGGATACATTACGAACCCACATTTATCCAACAACAATGTCGGCTACACGAGGATAGTAGTAAATTGAGGCGTTCCTCCCCTCGGGTATAATGTAGAAACCAAACTGGTCTGGTGCCCAGGCGATAGCTTGTGTGTCCGCTACTCTATCATAGGTATCAAATGTAGAGGGAACCTGATTCTCAAACGCTTTAATGTAGTCACCATCAGTCACCCTAGATTGTATATGAATAAATGTATATATATATATATATATATATATATATATATATATATATATATATATATATATATATATATATATATATATATATTTATTTATTTTTTTATTTTTTTATTTATATATATTTGACTTGTCAACTTGAAGACAAAAGGTCAAACTAATAATAAAATTTTGCAATTGGTGGTGCCAAAATATAATAGTTTGACTAAAAATTAAATTTTACCAGTTAACAAAAGTTAACCCATTACTATTACTATGCCATAATAGGGCTCAACTATGTGGAATAGTTTTTTGTTGTTACGATTAATAAAACAATTAGAACATGCAATTCAGAGTTCACTTTTTTACTTATTTAATATGAAAGCTAGTACTTGTGATTACACTCTGTAACATATATAATCTGCATATATGTGTACACAATTATTATTAGATGAGGAAAGGGAAGCATATTAGCACTTTAATGTATAGTTTTTTTTTACAACAAAATGATAAGAAAATATAGGGGAGACAAACCTAAAAAAATAGATGTTGTACTCAGCCACAATCAAGAGTTCTCTCCCATCACGTGAGATATCGCCCCCTAGAGGGTCTCTATTGGTGGTGTTGATTTGTAAAGTTGCCGTCTGTGATACATCTAGGTTAGCAACGCTGAAGAGACGAAAGAACAGACAGTTTGTCATCGATACATTACAAACCTGTTTTGTAAATAAAATTTCACTGTGGTATGACAGCGATTATGGGAACGGAGTGGTCTAGCGGTAGAGCGTTGGAATGCTAACCCGTATATCTAGAGTTCGAATGCGTGTTCATGTCAGTAGACCGTCCATGAGTCAACCCAACTTTGATGGGTACCTAACTCACGTTAGGGAAAGTAAAGGCGGCTGGGCATAGTGCTGACCACAATATCTCTTCGTATGCCGAGGTCACAGAAACAAGTGAACTCTACTTCACTTGCCCCATATACCGTTAGGTTTGAAAGGGAAACTTTACTTTACATGATAGGTGTTAAGATCTTTTCGACTTTCGGTCAATTAGACAAATTAAGTTATTTATTTATTTATTTTTATTGTGTATGTGTGTGTGTGTGTGTGTGTATGTGTGTGACCACAACAACATGTTTACTTTCTTGATAATTCAAGTGCCTATTACGTTAACTCAGAGATGTTCAACAGATCTTATCTCAAATCTGTAGGGTGAGCTGTACATCAATCATCGCGTTATTCGAATCATAAAACGGTGTGTATCTACCTCCCAGAGTTCCAGGCGGTTGCTGGTAGCTGAGCAATCTTGCCCCTACCGCCAAAAGTCTTGGAGACGACGAACAACTGGGCGTCAGGTGACAGGAGTAGGGTCTCAACGTCTGGCTCCGTCCAGCTGTTGAAACAATCAGCAAGTAGACAACAGGCATAGAACTAATTCAATGAAGGGTCATCCGTTTTTTTTTTAATAATGTAAAATAGCTTGGTGACAATAGGGCTATTAAGTAGGTCACCAACCAGTTCTATAACTCATGCATGTTTTATTGAGCCGTCAAGTTTACTTTCAGATTTATTAGACTAGATATTTAAGTCTCTATATCCCATCTCAATAGCAAGAAAATACCACTGGAATTTTAAATAAAGCATAAATTAAAAACCAAAAAGTAAAGCTAGCATTCAAACCTAACGATCAGTGGAACAGATGGGATATAGTTTTCATGTTCCTGTGACCAAGGCAGGCAAAAATATGGGATGACCACAATATGTACGACCGCCTCCATTGTAGTTTTCTTAACTCTAATCGCGTACGCATCACAAATGGGTTAACACGGTTACATATTAAAGACTGCAGCTTGTGATTCAAACTTGAAATATTATGGACACACAATGTACGCTCTACCAACTGACCACACCGCTACAATATATCTTATAAAAGTTAAATTCATTTAAACGTCTAAAAATGAGATTTGAGAACGGCATGGTCAAGAGGAAGCACGTTTAATTCCTAATTCCATCAGTAACGAAATCGGATCCCGGGAATAAAACGCACCTTTGCTGGTGATTACAGTGTATCTATTTTGGAAAATTTAAAAATACAAATGACTAATTTATTGCATATTGCTCTCGTGTGGAGAAAAGTTATGAAAAAAAAACATGATAAAAGAACAGTAGGCTGATGTCAAAAAGCCAAATCGTGCATAACATGTTGACAAGTCATACTTAGTAGGTAGAAAGATCTTGACTAGTTAAGCATGCCAGTAGCATGGCGATGGTAAGCAAGTACGTTTCATCGAATCTGACGGTCCATGGGGCAAGTGAAGTAGAGTTTACCTGTTTCTAAGACATTGAAATCAAAAGCAATAGAGTGGTCAGTATTTAGCCCAGGCGACTTTACATTCCCTAACGTAGGTCGAATATCTGGGTTAATTCAGAGACGATCTATTGACTCGTACCTGCATTAGAACTTAAAGTTCTGGGTAAGTGGTATAGCTTTATACATTGCCATCTCATCATAATGATGCTGGCAGTTATAAATCATACAACATATTAAAGAAAAACCAACTTGAAGCGGAGTGTTCCAACAAGATCTACACTCCCGTCCTGTAGACTCGCTGGTTCTTGCACAGCATAGATGACGTTAGCGGTTGGACGGAAACCGTTGCTTCCAGTATCACCGATGTAGAGACAGTTGCGGGCTGGGTTTGTGCCTGTGCTGTAAACATTTTAAAATTTGTTTACAAGTCGATACGTTGTAAGCTTCTAGTAGCAAAAATCATGTTCTTATTAATTAGTACTTTTAAGCTAAGCCATCTGTGTTATACTTTAAATTTGTTCTCTGTAGAATCATACGCTAACACTAATTAGTTATTTGCTGGATAATCACACGTGTACACTAATTCACAATATACTGGAAAATTAAGCTACTAGACTAATTCGCTGAGCTTTATAAAGTTTAACTTGAAATGTATTGCAAATATTATAGTTAAGGTACACACAATAAAACATGTATGCATACGTTTTGCTCAATAAGTAGGGAAAATAGAGTTGACCGGTTGTTTTTACCTGGGATTGATATTAGCATTGGCAATATGACTAGAAATCATTAATTAACTTTGACCCTAAACAGATACACACCTAGTATGTGTTGATACTGCGGCGCGGGCAGAGGCGTAAGGACCCCTCCCGGCGCTCGGTGACCAGTGTTTCTTCCAGACTTTTTTTCTTCCGGGGGGGGGGGGGGGGCAATTCATATTTTCGGGGGGGGGGGGGGGGGTCAACATTTTCCGGGAGGGCGGACACTAGTAAAAGTATATTTTTACTATATGAATTCCATCTCGTTCGGGAGGTGGGGGGGGGGGCGATAGACTTTCTTACGGGGGGGGGGGGGCTCTGCCCCTCGAAGAGATGCCTGGCAGAAACTATTTCAATTTGCCCCCCCCCCCTTACATTTTTTTTAATGTTTATATTTCAAAACAGCAACTAAAATGAGCTTTAATTTTCTTTCCAACCCATTTTAGTGGCCCTTCGGTCGGCGCTCAGGGATATATGTACTCCTCCCCCCTTCCCTCTTCTCTACGCCTCTGGGCGCGGGTAACTTTTACCAGAAACCGAAGATAATTTTGTCAGTTAATAATCGTACGTCTTACTATTCGACTACTATATATTTATTGCTAAATTGATCCATACAAATATGACTTGAACGACAAGATATAACAATTTACCAAAAAATGGAATAAAGCGTGATTAATGATCATCCTTAGTATTGAATGTGATCTGATTATTAACTACTACAAGGATAAGCCTTGATACATATTTTAGTTTTTAATACAGAATGTTGGCCACAAGATAATAATGGACATAATAAACCTACTAATTTAATCATGCGTTCAAATTTAAGTGATATAATAAAATTGTCCGAAATTCGGCACCGCATCTTAATTTTATAGATGTTTTAAAAAATGTGAGTATGGACTCAGGTTGGTACCTGCAAGTACCGCTTTTACAGTCGTCAAAACAGGGGCCATAAGCCATGTCCTCCCAGTCGACGTTGGTGGCATTGTTGATGGTGAAAGTGGCTACCTGTGTTAAAACAGTGGCTACATGTTAAAATTGGCTACCTGTGTAAAACAATTAATACATATGTAAAATTGAAGCTAAATCTGTATTTAAAAAGTGGTTAAATGTGTTAACTGTTTAGAGACATAGCTTTCTACTTTAAAATTGTGTCTAGGTTTTCAAAATGTTGGCTTTTCGTTAAATGTAATGTATAGCATAAACTGTAAGCTAGTTAGTTCAGGCTGTCCAACTAATTATTTCAACGTTGACATGTAAATGACATTTATGTGGACAGATTGAACGAAAAACTATTTGACAACAAACTGTCTTACCCAGAAATACAGATACATAATGTGACCTAAGAGAAAGAATGAAAAGTCATAATGTTTCTGATGAAACTTACTATGTTTCCTGTGATTAGATCGACCGCGAAAAACCGATTGACGTCGACCTTGTCGTTGTGCATGTAAGCAATATTCGCGTGAACACGGCTTATGGCCAGTCCGGAAATCTCGTCGATTTTCGGGTCCAAAATTTGAACTTTGGTCTGTCGGTTTCCAAACAAACCAGCTGAAAAATAAACAAGAATGATGAATTAATAAGATGTTTGATGTTTCATAGACGCAGAGGCGTAGCGAGGGGGGGGGGGGGGGGGGGGAAATATGTCCGGGCGCCGACCTTAGGGTGGGGGCACCAAATTGAAAGTTTGAGGGGGGGGGGACGGTTGTAAATGAAAAGTTCGAGGGGGGTGCAAATCGAAAGTTTGAGGGGGGGGGTTCAAATTGAAAGTGTGTCCCCGGGCGCCGGGAGGGGTCGCTACGCCTCTGCATAGACGTTCGAGATTCGGTGAAAATATCATGATTGCCATGGTGATTAAAGTTTATAATTTTTTTTCCATATAAAAAAAAATTGAATAGAAAAAATATTTTAAAAATATTATTAAAAAAACAAATTTGCAAAATGACGTTTTGATTAGTCAGCTAGAAATGAAAGCCTGAAATCGACAAACGCATTGACGTAAAAAATAAGGAGAAGACAGTTAAATCGACATATACACATACAACGGCGTGGTCTGTCTGGTGTTAAGAGTACGGGGTGCTTATCATCTTTTCCCGTTTATGCCCTAAACAAATGCGGCGAATGACGTAGGCTTCATCTGTTTCAATAAGCTCGGTTTACGAAAATAGACTGAGGTTAACACAAGCCCAGTCTCCTTGTTTCACTAATGGAGCCAGATACTAATCAAAAACACCCTATAATTTCGAGATACGAACTCGAGATTTTCGGGTTTGCAGTCATACGCTTTAGTTATCTTTCTTCTGTAAAAAGATGTTTTGAAATGTTAAAACACTTAAAAAGTGACAATCTAGACTCGGTGAAGCATACATAGCGTACAAACCTGCTTGTGTGGAATAAATAAGCAGCGAAATAAAAGCAAAATAATTTGCCATGATGCAACAGATCGAACTCATTGTGACGTTTGGCAGTCGAGTATTGTTCTGTCATAGACGTATGCGATATTTATAGTGTGGACTATCACAGACATGTAGTGAAGCATGGCTTAGTCGCGTGTTATCTCTTTGTCTTTTTTTCGCCCCTTAATCTTGTCTAAGCTGTATTTTCATGAGATTAAAATAGAATCAAAGTTCAAAAAGGGCAGGTCCCTATCTCTAAAAATATTTGGTGTAATTAATTATGTGCATATTAGCAGCCTGACAGTACACGCTGGCATATGATAATCAGTGTTTCTTTCTGGCATCTCTTCAGGGGTGGGGGGTAGCTCCCCCCCCCCCCAAGAGAGTATACCGCCCGCCCCCCACGAACAAAATGGAATTAATAAAGAAAATATATACTTTTAGTCCGTCCCCCCGGATATTTTAGCCCCCCCCCCCCCCCATCAACCAATATTTCAAGTGCCCCCCCCCCCCCCCGCACCGCCCTAGAGAAAAAAGTCTGAAAGAAACACTGGTGATAATATTATAATATCGTATTAAAGCTTCATAGTTATTCACTGACATGTTATAAATTTTTTCTCTTTTAAACTTTAATTTTCTAATATTACATCTATGGTGAATTAAAATTTCGTTCAATAAAAATTACTGTCGAACAGGTGTCACTGTTGTTAAATTTTCTATCTACATTTTTCAATAACATTTCATTTTACCTATTCGGATGAAACGAATTTAATAAGCTTTTATATGGATAACAATGTCTTTCTGTTTTTTTTTGTTTGTCAGTTTTTGTTTGGTAAATCTTGTAGCTTAATTTTAACCCACCCCTAATATAGTGATTTTGCTTGTTCATATTTTACAGATACATGTGTTTACGGTGACAATGCAATAATATATATTCCTTAATATGAGTAAACATTAGGTTAGTCAATAAATTTAATGTCAGAATTGTATTAAATCCAATTTAAAAGGGGAGATAACAAGATTAAATACTACCGATCGCCAAAGGCATCCGCCGTGTGCTTAGAGTTTGCAGAAGCATATGCTTGTCTTCAGGCTACTGATTGGGATTAAGTCAAATACGTTTTGTCGTAACCTTTGTGGTTTTAAATTCATTTAGAAAGAATTACTAAACTATCAAAATAAATAAAATAAAAACTTAAAATAATAAGCTTTTAAATGCACTTAAATAAGAAAATAAATCGAAAGAGCTCATTTTAAAATAGATGCTTAGATCGATAAAATATGTAAACTATTGTAAACGCTCCCACAAGCTGTAAAAGCTTTTATTAAATCAAGACCAACTTGGTTTTATTTGTTCTTTTTAATAATGAAAGGGAATTCAGTACTCTATTACGTATTGCGCGTTGATTCTATTTTCAGCTTACTTTTTATTATTTTAATTCCATATTATTTGCTCTTCTAAGAACAATCTGCGATGAAGAAGCTGTTAGGTTTTGGAGTTTTCAGTTTGTATACACGACACACCTCCCCATACCACGAATCATGGCACAATGAATTATTGGATATTTTAAATAAATTGTGGAAATATCATAATGTTGGATAAATTAAAATGTTACAAATTCAGTTGGAATATTCTCAAGTCTTCTAATGAGTTTAAAGAAGAAAAACAAAGAAAAAGCAGAAAGTTTTGCCATTTTTATCTAAACATTTGTTACAGTAATATTGACTTTAAAAAGTTAAGCTAAATTCGTTTTAATAAAACGTTGGTCTATACCACCACCTCCCACCCTAAACCCAGGATAATAAAATATTAATTAATAATAAATAGCCTTGACACTCCCATGGCGGTTTTTGTTAATCATAAGCATGATTTCAAACAAAATATATCTCAAGGATAAACAACCTAAATATTCATTTGCGTTATACAAGATTTCATTTTCTGTATAGATTGCAAAACATCACACGAGAGAGCTGTGTGAACTACATTGTAACACAACTATCTGCCAAATGAGAACCATATTGTAGTATGACTGTATTTTAGGGTTTCCTTCATACATCTCTTCGTAGAAGCACTGCTCCCGACCAGGTCATCGTTTCCCCCTCCCCCTCCCCCCCATTTCGGACGAAGAAGAGATATAAATAATTGTATAGAAAATAAATACTTTCATTAATGTTTTCCCATTTTGAAATTTCCTCCCCGGAAATGTTTATGTGCCACCCCCCCCCCTCCTTCCCGACGAAATACAATTATATACAACTTGTACCTCCACCCCCTACCCGTAAAATGGGGAAAAAATGTCTACAAAAAATACTGCTCGCTTGACCGAGTCGGTACCACATGGCTAACTCGCTTTACTGACATTATGATTTGTTGTGTTTTTAAGTAGACCGTAGAAAACGAGATAATAGTTTTATCGTTCTTGTCATGGCTCTCGAAAAAATCACACGCATCACTAATGCCCTGGCGTCTTATCTCTAAAGGTCACGGCTTTCCTCGTACAGGTAACCTGGTGGAAAAAAATGTGTCACTATTGTGTAACATACAAAAACAAAATGCCCACAAAAAAAAAGTTTTATTGTCTCCCTTAATTGGTATTTGAAAAGTTACTTCCCGTGATTTTGTCCGAAGATTAGCTTTGGCCGTGAGAAGAAAAAAAATGCTGATAATTTTTTTCCCGACTTAAACCTACCATCACTTATGGTTCACTAATTTGTTTAGAAAGATGCGTGGCCTTAAAGACAAAAGGGCAGATATTCAAGGGCAGCGGGCAGAAACGGTAGGCGGGAAAACATTCAAGTGGAAAAGCGGTTATTTACGATACGGTTCTTTCACGATTTTAATTAACTCCTTCCAAAACTTCCTCTAAAATCATATCGGGCTTTAGCTCTACCGCCATGTCTCCTATCCCTAACCGTCGCGGCTAGTTTTGCTTTCCAAACTGCATTTTTAATCAAGTATGAATTGGTGCCCGAAATATAAAATATTGATCAATTTAATTTACAAATTAATCGAACGACTAAATAGAAGCTAAAATGAAGAACAAAATGTAATTTTAAAAATAATTTTGACGTTAAGCAATTTTAAATGTTCTCTGCCAGCATATATTCCGCTAGTCTATTTGTCCGCCTGCATATATGCGCTCCTGCCTATATGCTAGCCTTCCTATATGCCCGCCTGACTGCATAAAGGCTAGCCTACATGATCGTTTGCTTATAAGCCCGCCAGCCTATATGCTAGCCTTCCTATATGCCCGCCTGCATATATGCCCGCCTGCCTATATGCCCTCCTGCCTATATGCCATCCAGCCAATATGCGCGTCTGCATATGCACGCCTGCCTACATGCCTACCTGCGAATATGCCAACCTGCGAATTTGCCCGCCTGCCTATATGCCCGCTTGCCTTCATGCCCTCCCGCCTATATGCCCTCCTGTCTATATGCCCTCCAGCCAATATGCCCCTCTGCCTTTGCACGCCTGCCTACATGCCCACCTACATGCCCTCCATCCTATATGCCCGCCTGCCTATATGCTAGCCAGTATATATACCAGCTGCCTATATGCCCTCCTGCCTATATGCCCTCCTGCCTATATGCCCGCCTTCCTATATGCTAGCCAATATATATACCAGCTGCCTATATTCCCGCCAGCCTATATGCCCATCTGCCTATATTCTTTCAGCCTATATGCCCGCCTGCCTATCTGCCTACCCTCCTGCATATCTGCAAGCCTACATACTTGCTTAATTGTCCACCGCCCCCAAAAGTCTGTCCTTTAGTCTGACAAACCTTCAAACTGTCTCAACAGACGAGTGAACCCGTGAACCCTAAGTGAACCCTTGAACCCTAAGTGAACTCGTGAAACCTAGGTGAATCCATGAACTCTAATTGAACCCATTAACCCTTAGTAAACCCGTAAACCCTAAGTCAACCCTGAACCCTAAGTTAATCCCGTGAACCCGCGAAAACGTTTCATATAGCGATACAGAGCTATATAACTCTAACATTTTATAATAAAAAATTATTGTTGCCAAAGTAAAGTAGTCTATAGAGTCCAAATCAAGGGACATAACATTTCAATTACAATTCAAGGGAGACTATCACAACCTACGTAAGTAAGAGTAGTGTGTTTTTTTTTTTCTACATGCACGTTTTAAAGCTGAGGATGTTGCGCGATTCGTTTGACAGGTTACCCGGTGAAGCAAAACCTTGACCTAATGAGATAAAACACCAGGACATTGGTGATTCACGCGGTTTTTTAATAGACAGAAAGAAAAGGATAAAAAAAGTTATCTAATTTCATACGTAACCCAATTTACTTCTTAATTTAAGCTCATTAGTGTTAGGTCAAGTTTAAAACTTTCCGTTTTAAATTGTTGTTAGTTTTAATGACACAGTTGGGAAAAGTATTGGAGAAGTAAATTTACTTTTTTTTTGGGAAGGGGGGGGGGATTTTTAGTCATTGTCAGTAATGCTTTGTTACGATGTAGTTTTCACACTATAATTAAAGCGAAGCTATAATGTAGTATTTACACTGTCATTAAAGCGAGGCTACAATGTAGTTCTTACACGGTCAGTATACTGAGACCGACATAGTTGTGGCAACAACCGCATAGTATGCACTCTATTAAGAAAGATAAATCTTTTTAAAAAAACATAAAGGGGATATTGTGGTTATTTTTTTGTTATATGGGACAGAAATTGTGATTTTAACCGATGTTATATTTAAGCCTACATTTTCATTAGTTTTCCTTATTTATTCTACATCATTATTGTTTTATATTATGATTAGATACACATATAAAACACTCGATATATGATTTTTTTAATTTAATAGAAGTATTTGCAACAAGAAAACAAACCTACGGAATGTAATCTATAACTCTAATCTAATCTGATCCGAAATGTTATCAAGGACAAGAATAGGCCCTCAGTTTGTTTGGCATATATAAAAATAAACTTTGATCTAAATACTTCATGAGATAAGGAACTTTTAGATTCTATATTACAGCTCTCAACAAGATTAACTGCCAAGATAAAGAAAAGACAATCAGAACCCACGAG